CTGTAGGGAGACAGATTTGAGGAGGAGGATGTGTACATTACCACCCTTCTTGCCCTCAAATCCTTCCACTTAAACCCGCCTTTTTCTGATGACTTTGGCTTGCTAATTGTTTTGTCTTTAATCCCAAATATGACTCTTCTTGCCAAACATGTAAGAAACACATGACATATAGCAGCAAAATTATGGATGTCCAGTGACCGCAAAAGGAGAGAGGTTGAACAAATGGCAAGAATAAGAAACAACGGGAAAGAACACTCCATTGACATCTATTCAGCATGATGTGGAAAGAACAAGAGGGAATTATCCAGTACATTTGATTGATCTACTATGGAGGACAAGAATTGCATGAAACCGGAATGGTATGGAACAATTCAATCTGCATCATTGGAATGACTGCCTGCATCAGTGAAATCATCAATCTTCAAGATAACCCAGATATAAATGCATGACTTCACCTCTCTCCTTTTTCTTCTTCTTCTGCGTATTTTACAATATAAGCTCCTTTTGGAGAGGGAGGTCTCTGTTTCAGCTTATTAACTTTCCTGTTGGTTCCCAGGCCTGATTAAAGCATTGCTGGGAATCATGCAGCCTGCCAGATGTTCCTGGACCCCATCTCCCAGATTTCCTCACCATTGGCTAAGCCGGCTGCAGTTATTGGGAGCTGCATCCCAACAACATCTGGAGGGCCACGTGATTTAAATTCCTCCTTTTAATGTGTTGTGTTTACCAGGAGTGTTGAATGTATGTACATATAAATAAAAATTAGGAGCCCCTGTTAACTAACTTGAAAAGAAAGAGAAAAATATGAATTAGATCTTAGGATAACAAAACGATGTATCTCTCTGTGTGTTTATAAGTCTATATGTCTGTGTGTAATAAAACTGAAGCTAAATTAAAAAAAAAAGAGGCGAAAATTACATAACATATAGTTCCAACCCAATTAACAAAGCCTTTTAAAATGTATGGGGAAAGAAACACAGTTCTCCAGACTTTGTAAAAGAAAAAAAAGAGAAATGATGTTAGCACCAGTCATACCTTCCAGGGGAATGTTCTACGTTTAGAGAAGTGTTTCTCAACCTGGGGGCTGGGACCCCTGGGTGGGTCCCAAGGGGGTATCAGAGGGGTCACCAAGGACCATCAGAAAACACAGTATTTTCTGTTGGTCATGGAGGTTCTGTGTTGGGAAGTTTGGCGCAATTATATCGTTGGTGGGGTTCAGAATGCTCTTTGATTGTAGATGAACTATACATCTCAGCAACTACAACTCCCAAATGTGAAGGTCTGTTTTCACTTTTGGGTATATTGATTATCTGTGCCAAGTTTGGTCCAGATCTAGCATCTCATAGTCTTTAGATCAGTGTTTATCATTCTGAGGGTCAGAACCCCTGGGGGTGTCATGAGGGGATGTCACAGGGGTCGCCAAAGACCATCAGAAAACACAGTATTTTCTGTTGGTCATGGAGGTTCTGTGTGGGAAGTTCGGCCCAATTCTATCATTAGCGGAGTTCAGAATGCTATTTAATTGTAGGTGAACTATAAATCCCAGCAACTACAGCTCCGAAAAGTCAAGGTCAATTTTCCCAAACTCTACCAGTGTTCACTTTGGCCATATTGACTATTTGTTCCAAGTTTGGTCCAAATCTCTCATTGTTTGAGTCCACAGTGCTCTCTGGATGTAGGTGAACTACAACTCCCAAACTCAAGGTCAATGCCCACCAAACTCTGTTGGTCGTGGAAGTTCTGTGTGCCAAGTTTGGTTCAATCCATCGTTGGTGGAGTTCGGAATGCTCTTTGATTGTAGGTGAACTATAAATCCCAGCAACTACAACTCCCAAATGACAAAATCAATCCCCTCAACCCCACCAGTATTCAAATGTGGGCATATTGGATATTTGTGCCAAATTTCATCCAGTGAGTGAAAATACATCCTGCACATGAGATATTTGCATTACGATTCATAACAGTAACAAAATTACAGTTATGAAGTAGCAACAAAAAAAAATTGGTTGGTTGTCACCACAACGTGAAGAACTGAGTTAAGGGGTCGCAGCATTAGGAAGGTTGAGAAACACTGGTTTAGAAGGATACCCCTTACTGTTTCACATTGTCTCTTTCCTGATGGTCTTACATCATGGACAGATGAGTTTAGGAAGAGATGGACATTGAAACATAACCATAACTCTTCAGAACTCAGAGTGTATCTACATTGTAGAATGAATTCAGTTTCATATCACTCTAACTGCCATGATTCAATGCTATGGAATCTTATAGTTTGGCAAAACTAGCCTTCTCTGCCAAAAAGGACCATTGCTCCACCAAAATACAAATCCCAGGATTCCAAAGTGGTGTCAAACTGCAATCATTCTACAGTGTAGATCAGTGGTTCTCAACCTGTGGGTCCCCAGGTGTTTTGGCCTACAACTCCCAGAAATCCCAGTCAGTTTACCAGCTGTTAGGATTTCTGGGAGTTGAAGGCCAAAACATCTGGGGACCCACAGGTTGAGAACCACTGGTGTAGATGTACCCGAGGCATGGATGAATTCCCCATGACAAAAATACTTACCAATATCCAGAATACGATCACCTGGCCGGTTCCACCTCCATCCTTCCAGCTGCTGATGTTCAGTATATTGGAGTCTTCGGTCATGGAATACCACTCTGACCACACTCTAAGAAGCAAAAAAGAGACAACCAAAATTTCTCTGGGCCTTCTCTTTTCCCTCTTGGGAGAGGTCAAGTTAAAGTTCATCTGGCCAAATCCTTTGCTTTGTTTCCTCTAAGTTACTAGGGATGCCCTCACTGTGGGAGAAGCTGCAGATCAAGAATAGGGCTCCACAGTCACCTATGGACCCACCGCCAGGATACTACACTTGGAGGACCATCATCCTCGGACTATGAGGGATCTCCTAAGTAAGTAAGTACTAGGGACAAAAGGCATTAGGGGTTAAGACTGTTGAAGGAGGGGTACTCGTTGTTAGTCTGTTTCAAGAAAAAAATATATGCTGTAGTCACGAAAGCTTATAGGGCCATGGTGGCACAACGGGTTAAACCGCTGAGCTGCTGAACTTGCTGACTAGAAGGCTAGCAGTTCAAATCCGCGAGATAGGATGAGCTTCCCACTATTAGCCCCAGCTACTGCCAATCTAGCAGTTTGAAACATGCTAATGTGAATACATCAATACGTATCGCTTTGGAGGGAAGGTAAATGGTGCTCCATGCAGTCATGTCAGCCACATGACCTAGGAGGTGTCTACAAACAAAGCAGGCTCTTTGGTTTAGAAATGGAAATGAGCACTATCCCCAGAACCGGAGATGAAAGGGGAAGCCCTTACCTTTCTCTGTGTATTGTTATTTCTAGGCATTGAAAGTTTGCTTTTGTGTCTGTATATGCTGGAATCCTCCCTGAGTCCCTTCGGGTAAATAGGGCGGAATACAATAATAATAATAATAATAATAATAATAATAATAATAATAATGCTAAGTAAAACTTTAATGTGCCACAAGATTCTTCATTCTAATCTGAAATTGATCTAGAAGAATAGAAACTCATAGTTTTATGTTAGTTAATGAATGAGAGGAAAACTAGTTTACAATCTCATCCCTATCTTGTCACTACATTAGTTCTTTCTACCACCCAACATTTCATGGACGAAAACCAGGACAGGGTGACCAAGCAATATCAGAGTGTGGCCAAGATGGCAAGTTATTATTGAGAAACACACAAGATAGAAGAGTCTGCAGCATAGAATCATAGAATTGGAAGAGACCTCGTGGGCCATCCAGTCCAACCCCCTGCCAAGAAGCAGGAAAATTGCATTCAAAGCACCCCCGACAGATGGCCATCCAGCCTCCAAAGAAGGAGCCTCCACCACACTCCAGGGCAGAGAGTTCCACTGAGGAACAGCTCTCACAGTCAGGAAGTTCTTCCTAATGTTCAGATGGAATCTCCTTTCTTGTAGTTTGAAGCCATTGTTCCTCGTCCTAGTCTCCAGGGCAGCAGAAAATAAGCTTGCTCCCTCCTCCATATGACTTCCTATCACATATTTATACATGGCTATCATATCTCCTCTCAGCCTTCTTTTCTTCAGGCTAAACATGCCTAGCTCTTTAAGCCGCTCCTCATAGGGTTTGTTCTCCAAACCCCTGATCATTTTATTTGCCCAACTCTGGACACATTCCAGCTTGTCAACATCTCTCTTGAATTGTGGTGCCCAAAACTGGACACAATATTCCAGGTGTGGTCTAACCAAGGCAGAATAAAGGGGTAGCATAATTTCCCAGGATCTAGACACTAGACTCCTATTGATGCAGGCCAAAATCCCACATTGTTGGCTCATGTTTAACATTGTTGGCTCATGTCTGAGCCTACTAGGAAGGGCAAAATTCTGTTTCTTCCTCTCTTTTCCTCATGGTTGAATTTTGTTGTTCATTCGTTCAGTCGTTTCCAACTCTTTGTGACTTCATGGACCAGTCCACGCCAGAGCTCCCTGTCGGTTGTCACTACTCCCAGCTCCTTCATGGTTGAATTAACTGAATATAAACAACTGTAGTGCTTTGAACTAGTTTACAGCAACTGAAGTAAGTGGAGGATGAATTTGAAAAGTTACAGAGAAACTGGGACATTTTGAAAACAGCTGACCAAGTGGGATAACAGAATTAGTTGGTAAAGTGAGATCATTGGCAGGTGTAGTTCAATTTCCAACAGATATGAGAAGTTTTTTTAAAAAAGAAAAACCGAACTTTAAAATCTGGGACAAGCAGAGCAACATTTCCATAAATCTGTCTGATGAAAATGAAACCGGAAGGCAAAGAAGGGGAGAATTTGCCCAGTGGCTGCAACAGCCGGTGATATGATTGCTAGAGGGAACTGCCAGCTGCCATTATGAGAGGCTGGCCCAGGCTATATCATTAGGCAGAGTGAGAAATATTTGTCAAAAGAGAAAACTTTGGATTCCTCTTCACTGCCATATAAAATCCAGATTACTTGCTTTGAACTGGATTATATGGCAGTGGAGACTCATACAATCCAGTTCACAGCAGATAATGTGGATTATCTACTTGGATAATCTTGATTATATGGCAGTATAGAAGGGGCCTTAGTATGTCATACAGTCTGCTTTGTATTTCCCAACTAACCAAATGTCTTGTCGAAGATTTTCATGGCCAGAATCACTAGGTTGTTGTAAGGTTTTTCGGGCTATATGGCTATGTTCTAAAAGCATTCTTTCCTGACATTTCACCTGCATCTATTACTGCAACACACTCTATGTGGGGCTGCCTTTGAAGACGGTTCAGAAACTTCAGCTAGTCCAACAGTTGGCAGCTAGATTACTAATTGGGGCGACATACAGGGAACATACCATCCCCCTGTTATGCCAGCTCCACTGACTGCCTCCGAGCCCAATTCAAAGTGCTGGTTTTGACCTATAAAGCTCTATATGGTTCTGACCCAGCTTAGCTGTCTGAATGCATCCACCCCTACGTCCCACCTCGTAATCTAAGATCATCCGGGGAGGCCCTGCTCTCACTCCCATCAACAGCACAAATGCGTATGGTGGGGACGAGAGACAGGGCCTTCTCGGCGGTGGCTCCCCGTCTATGGAACACACTCCCAACGGAGGTAAAATCGGCTCCCTCCCCCCTGGCTTTTCGAAAGAAATTAAAGGCATGGTTTTGGCTTTCGGACAATAGATGTAGCAGCACTTTAGAGGGACAGGACTAGAACAACAATATGGCTGACGAGACTGTTTGACTTTTTTAATGATGGCTTATGTATTGTTTAACTAGGATTTGTGTCCAATTGTGGTTTTATTATTGTAATTGTCATGTAGTGGGCCTCGTAACGGGGCACATTGTAAGTCGTCCTGAGTCCCTCTTCAAGGGTTGAGAAGTGACAGGATACAAATATGAGAAATAAATAAATAGACATCCTTAGAGGTTGTGAGGTGCCACAACCTCACAACCTCTGAGGATGCCTGCCATAGATGCAGGCGAAATGTCAGGAGAGAATGCTTCTAAAACAGTGGTTCTCAACCTGGGGTCCCCAGATGTTTTTAGCCTACAACTCCCAGAAATCCCGGTCAGTTTACCAGCTGTTAGGATTTCTGAGAGTTGAAGGCCCCAGGTTGGGGACCCCAGGTTGAGAACCACTGTTCTAGAACATGGCCATACAGTCCAAAAAACCTACAACAAACCAGTAACCAAATGTCCTTCATGTGTTGTGGAAATGATTACCATAACTGATTGAAGTTATTAATCACTTTACTGCCCATAAAGCCTTGAAGTGATGGACAAATAAGGTATAAACCAGCTCTAAAGATATATATATATATATATATATATATATATATATATAGATAGATAGATAGATATAGATATATATATAGCAAAACACAATACCACAATTTTAAATATCTGTATAGAAGGTCAACTACGATGAAGCCACCTCAGCTTCCCTTGGGAGGGAATCCAACCATCAACCATCAAAGCCATTGTGACCTCCTAGCATAGAGGACCTGTATGGACAAGATTTCTGTTCCTCATCTCATGTTGCAGTCAGATTCAGTGGCCAAAATAGTTGGTTATTATGGTATATGTGGATTTGGGGGCCAAGTGACAACTTGTCCTTTGCCTCAGGCAGAAAAAAATTTGGTTTGGTCCTGGCGGGCATTTCACGAGTTGTAAAATAATGTATAGCAGATGCTTCAAAGATGTAAATTCCTTCCTTCCTCTCTGCTGTTGTCTTACAGTAGTGATTGGAGTCATGCAGATCTTCAGAAGTTGCTGAACTATAGCTCCCAGTGGTGAGAGATGCTAGGAGCTGTTGTTTCAATCAACATCTGAAGATCTGCATGACTCCAATCACTACTGTAAGACAACAGTAGAGATGAAGGAGGGAATGTACAACTTTGAAGCATTTCAAGAGTTGTATAAATTATTATACAACTCTTGAAATGCCTGCCAGGACCAACATCTGAGTAGAAATTGTTGCACAGAAGCGGATTTTAGCCAAGTCCCATGCAAAAGACACACAGGCAAGAGGAAAAAAAGGAACAGAAAAATTTCACTGTTATCAGCAGAGGCATAAACTTGTGTTGCATACAAAATCAAACAGTGCAACAAACTTACATAGTCCTTGTAAGTAACAGAATAAGGCTTTTTCATCATCATTTAAATGAGAGAGCAAAACATAAACTTTGAGTAAATAACTATTGAACCATAGCAAACAGCATTGCTGTTGAGCATAGCAGCATTACAGCATATTGCTTCTCTTCCTCAGAGTAGCGTATTGCTTCTCCAAACTGTATTCTAAAATCCATACAGTTATACCTCACCGGGTGTGGCCCAAACATGCTGACTGACCTACATTACCAGCTGTACATAATAATTAACATCATAAGGTATTTCTTCAACACACACTTGATCCTGCTATGACTTACTGTAACAGAAATGTAGTATAAAAGATCATTATTCTTGGGGAAGCTAGGATAGTACTACAGGATTCAAAGTGAGGGGAGCATATGGCCCAGACACTGGTTGCCTAGGCTAACAGCTAGTCAGAAGAGAAAGCCATTGGCAATTTTGGCTAGGACATCAGGACAGGTAAAATGATGTCTGGACTTTTCCTTTCTGGGGTTCTTTAGCTTTTGCTGCATAAACATTAAACCAGGATAGGTTGAATTAGTATTTCATACCACGAAGGCCATCCAATCCAACCCCCTGCCACGCAGAAGTAAACAATCCCCCTGCCATGCAGAATAAACAGTTTCATTCACGAGAAGGCATTACTGGTACATTATTTAAACTGTTATGTTTATTCATATCATGATCTGATCACTATGCTCAATATATCCCATATGCATGGGGCTATTGGGATAACGATACAAAAGGTTAGCTAGGGTAGATCCTCAGCCCCCCCCCCCCCCCAATCAAACTTAGCACCCCCCGAATCAAAATCCTGGTTACGGGCCTGTGTGTGAGCATCCCAGAATTTCTTACTTTCTTTTTTCTTTTTTCTTTTTTTACAAATGCTCATCTATTTTCACTTTCCCAACCCTCACCTTCAGCAACTTACGTCCCTCTGAAAAGTCTCCCATCTTCGGGTTGCACAGCATCCGGATTTCATATGACTGTCCTGGAAAAAAGTAGATTTAATCAGGAATTGAAGGCTGAAAATCCAAAATATCAATCTCAAATGTTCAGTTCTTTATATGTGGGTGTGCTATCTGCTTTTATGTGAGAGTAAACGTGTGTCATCCTATCAACTTCTGATGTGAAGGAGCTCCCTGTGACAACTCCTTAGCCACAAAACCTGGAAAGACCTGGAATTAGAAGTCCAGTACAAGAGAAAAGGAAAGAGAGGTTCCTGATTCTTTGGTTTAAAACTCCATCATAAAGCAAACACTCAAAAACAAATTACTAATAAAAAAATTTCACTGTTTAATTTATAGGAGTATGGTTGCAATCTTAAATATAGTAAAGTATCCTTATCCATGGATTTAATATCTATAGTTCCACTTAAATTCCAAAAAAATATTCCTCTCAGAAGTGGGTTGTTGTAGGTTTTTCGGGCTGTATGGCCATGTTCTGGAAGCATTCTCTCCTGATGTTTTGGCTGCATCTACGGTAGGCATCCTCAGAGGTTGTGAGGTTGCCTGCCATAGATGCAGGCGAAACATCAGGAGAGAATGCTTATAAAACATGGCCATACAGCCCAAAAAACATACAACAACCTAGTGATTCTGGCCAAGAAAGCCTTCGACAATACCCCTCTGAAGTGTTTGTGGGCTTCTCTAGGGGCACTTCCAGACAGCACCAAAATCCATGCCAAAGTGAGTTTTTAAAACCCACTTTGGCATGGAATCCTATCCCCACCCCCACCCCCCCCCCACCCCAAAAAAAGGCTTTCCCAGGGGGTGGGGGTGGCTACATGCAGCCACCTTGAAGCTCCCCAATTAACCTCTAAAAATAAAGTAAATCTTACCTGGTCACATGAGTTGCCTCTTTGCACCSTCCTGGAAATGACACACCGGGACACCCGGGGGGGGGGGCAGGGAGGGATTTTCCTCCCTCCCCCCCCCCCCAGTCTCCTGGAGTGTCACGTCTTTGTGTCATAAGGRTGTGARGAGGCAACTTATGGCGGTGAGGTAAGTTTTACTTTATTTTTAAAAGTAAATTTGGGGCTTGGGGGGAGGAGGTAGGTGCCGTCTTGATCTTTCAGTCTCCAGGAGCCTGAAAAACTGAGGTAGCTATGTGGATTGGGCCCAGGAATTGCATGGCATGGTCTCTGGGTCCAATCCCCACAGGGCCCACACCCGGTAAGACCCGAATCTTACCTTAAGATTCCAATCTTACCAGGTATTTAATTAATATGGGACAAGCTAGGGGAAGCCTGGATTGTTCCAAATTAATTCATTTTTACCGGAGGCGTCATTTGTATGCCTCTGGTAAAAATCCAGTTAGGTCCTGGGATATGGCCCTGTCTAGATGGACTCTAGGTCCTGCAGTGCTATTCTGTGGCACACTTCTCAATATGTATATAGAGTTTATTATTATCTGTGGTTTCAGGTATCCATGGGGGAGCAGGGCTTGGAATGCATCCCAAATGGTTACAGAAGTTACATTGTATAGTTATGTTGGACAAATTAGAATTAAATTCAATGTTGCTTGCATCTTATTGTATGAGCTTAATATAAACAAGCTGATCTAGATCCAATTGCTAGTGCAAACTAGGGGAGAACCACAGACTCAAGAGAATGTACATAATTGCTGACTAAACCATTCAACCGTGGGTTTGGTCTGTTGTTGTTGTTGTTCATTCGTTCAGACATTTCCAACTTTTTGTGACCTCATGGACCACCCCACGTCAGAGTTCCCTGTCGACCGTCACCACCCCCAGCTCCTTCAAGGTCAATCCAGTCACTTCAAGAATGCCATGCATCCATTTTGCCCTTGGTTGCCCCCTATTCCTTTTTCCTTCCATTTTCTCCAGCATAATTGTCTTCTCTAAGCTTTCCTTTCTTCTCATCTTGGCCTCTAATATCCTTCCCTCCAATGAGCAGTCGGGCTTTATTTCCTGAAGTATGGACTGGTTGGATCTCTTTGCGGTCCAAGGCACTCTCAGAACTTTCCTCCAACACCACAGTTCAAAAGCATCTATCTTTCTTCGCTCAGCTTTCCTTATGGCCCAGCTCTCACATCTGTAGGTTACTACAAGGAATACCATTGCTTTGACTATGCGGATCTTTGTTGCCAGTGTGATGTTTCTACTCTTCACTATTTTATCGAGATTGGACATTGCTCTCCTCCCAAGAAGTAAGTGTCTCCTGATTTCCTGGCTGCAGTCTGCATCTGCAGTAATCTTTGCACCTAGAAATACAAAGTCTGTCACTGCCTCCACGTTTTCTCCCTCTATTTCCTGTCAATCATTCTTGTTTCCATAATCTTGGTTTTTTTAATGTTTAACTGCAACCCAGCTTTTGCGCTTTCTTCTTTCAACTTGATTAGAAGGCCCCTCAGCTCCGCCTCACTTTCGGCCATCAAAGTGGTGTCATCTGCATATCTAAGGTTGTTAATTTTTCTTTCAGAAATTTTACCCCAGCCTTGCATTTGTCAAGCCCCGCACATCGCATGATGTGTTCTGCATACAAGTTGAATAGGTTGGGTGAGAGTATGCAGCCTTGCCGTACGCCTTTCCCAATCTTGAACCAGTCTATTGTTCCATGGTTTGTTCTTACTGTTGCTTCTTGGTCATTATACAGATTCCTCAAGAGAGAGACAAGGTGGCTTGCTATGCCCATCCCACCAAGAACTTGCCACAATTTATTATGATCCACATAGTCGAAGGCTTTAGAATAGTCAATGAAGCAGAAATAGATGTTTTTCTGAAACTCCCTGCCTTTCTCCATTATCCAGCAGAGATTGGCAATTTGGTCTCTCGTTTCTCTGGCTTTTCTAAACCCAGCTTGTACATCTGGCAGCTCTCACTCCATGTATTGCTGGTCTAGTTAGGAATATCAACTGGATATAGACTGGACCCTCCAGCTGTTGTTGGTTTGCAGTTGTCATCATTGCTCACCATTGGCTATGCTAATTAGAACTGAACGGGGTTGCATTTCAACATCTGGAGGCCCACACAGTACCTTTCCCTGGTTTAACCAAATATCTTAAATCAGCCAAAAGATAATATTTAACTTTTAATGAGAACCATAAACAGCAGCTAGTGTCATTTAAAGCAATCTTCCCCACACTGCTGCCTTGAAAAAAAAGGACAAGTTCCCATCATTCCCATTCACTACAGCTATGATGGCTGAAGATTATGAGGAATGTAGTCCCACACATCTGGAGAATGATGATTACAGTCCTTAAAAACCTCGCTATTACCATTTACAAGAAAAACAGTCCTTTTAATTGGTGGCACCAAAAACAAGCAATAGACATGAAGAATTCTAAAGAATTACAATTTTATGAGAACACGAGTCTTTATAGGCTATATGTCCATTCCGTCAGCAACAGCTTTTTGATTGCCAAGTGTTAATAATGCCACTGTCCTTGTTCGTATTTTAAGTATACAATTTCCCATTGACTTCACCATCTACAATCTCACCCCAATCATGTGCATTGTGTATACCAAGTGAAATTATAGATGATGCTTCATGCCTCCGGTGATGTGAGCCATTGTTCACGGAAATTATGATAAATGTTTTAGTCTGAAGCTTTCCTAGGATTTTTATTACTGTCACATTCACTTGCCAGAGAATGGAACCTTCATCAATTATCCCAGTGCTCCAACGTATAATGGGGAGTGATAAATAACTATATTCCCTTGTATATTTCCTTTGCTACACCACTCACATGGGCCCAGTATCCGTTCTGCTGTCTAATATTAGCATAGGTATAGCGCTAAGTAGATACGCTGTGAATGGCCGATGTTCAAATTAACTTCAACCCTTTGCTTAGTGGCTTCTCTAATGTCATGCATTTGCACAGTCCCAGTCTGTAATCTGACAAAGTATAATGATGCCGGCCTAACTTATATTATAGGTTGATCAGGAGTGCTAAACTGTGTATTTATTTTCAAATTTTATTCCACCCATTGTGGTGGGACCAAGACTAATATAAACAATTTAAAATAAATCTGGATGACAATGATAAAATAATTTAAATAGCATATTAAGGGGATCACTCCAACTTAAAATAGTAGAAATGTCTCAAATAATTTAAACTGTGTATAAGTACACTTTTAAAAAAGGTAATGCTACAACAGCTTTAATACAAAGTCATGTTTTAACTTGGCACCTAAAGGAAACTAATTTGGCACCAACCAGGCCTCCAAAGAGAAAGCAAAGGATGCCTGTCATAGATGCAGGCAAAACGTCAGGAGAAAATGCCTCTAGAACATGGCCATATAGCCTGAAAAAACCTACAACAACCAAGTAAAGTTTCATCCCTGTATCTGTGGGACCTGCATCTGCAGTATCATTCATCTACATCTGGCAAAGTATTTCATCTCTAGGCATATTCAGTCAACCAATCAATCTTTATTATGGTCCAAAGACCCAATTTGCTCAGATGAAAAAGTGCACAGCAGATTCATAAACTTATAAGACCACTTAAAAGCAGGATGAGTGGAATGCTAGATGCATATGAATAAGGGTAAAGGTTAGTAAAGGTTTTTCCCTGATGTTATGTCTAGAAATGTCCGGTTGTGGGGGATGGGGGTGCTCATCTCTATTTCTAAGTGAAAGAATCCGCGTTGTCGTTATACGCCTCCAAGGTCATTTGGCCAGCATGACTGCATGGCGCACTGTTACCTTCCCGCTGGAGCGGTATCTATTGATTTGTTCACATTTGCATGTTTTCAAACTGCTAGATTGGCAGAAGCTGGGGCTAATAGCAGGAGCTCACCTCGCTCCTAGGGTCTGAACTACTGACCTTTCGATCAGCAAATTCAGCAGCTCAACAGTTTAACCTGCTGCACCAACGGGTACAAACTGCAAATATATACAAGGCAAGTTTCAACCTGAGTCTAAAACAGGAAGGTGTCTTATTTTGGCATTTATCTACATCTGACCAAGTATGTCACCTCTAGGCATATTCTAGGTCCTCCAGTGTGACTCTAGTATACTAGGGCCA